CAGCTGCACCGATAAGATTTATTAGTGCACCATTTTAAATTTTACGCAGGATTGCCGTGGGTGTCGCTATTCCAATAATTTTAATACTTTCTTGTGATGAATCATCAACACGTTTGTAAAGTTATAGAGATCGATGACGTAAGGCGAAAATGAAATCACATACTCTTATTTTGAGATCAACGATGAAAAATGAACCTCATATAATATTGATTTAATATCATTGGACGGACTTATCGAGGGCTAGCATACCAGAGTTGCACGGAGGTAGGTCCTTTAGGCAGGAAGGGGATATGACATCGGAACGATTTTATAAATGATCATCTTACTAATTTGTCATCCCGTGAAAAATAGTTATATGCGTGTATATAATAGTATCTGTGCTTGTAATTTTGTAATTTTGTCCCCCGCCCCCTCCTGAGTTTTTTTTTATAGCAGGTTATATGAACATACAAATACTTTTGACAATTTCTTGAAATAACGACTGATGTTGACACTCTGTGACATTTTAAGCAAATATAAATTGAAAAATTCAATCTAAATTCGCTGCTAGGTTCATAAACCCTAAATGTTACATTCGAAACAGGTGGAAAATTTAACGTTAGATAAAATATGTGATATTGTTGCATTATAATTTTATTATGTTTTAATGAAACTATGAACATGGATAAAAATGTCCGTTGTCACGTCAACCTTAAAATGTCAAAGGAAGGAATACCTGTATGAGAGTGAATGTCGGTAAAGGCGACAAGCATGACCTCCCCTGGTGGATGACGTATATTGTAGAAATGTTACCTTTCGAAAAGTTCATATATTTGGCACAAAGTACAGTGATTGTTGATCGAGAGTTAAAAGTAAACCAGGTGTGTTTTCGGGTGTGTTAATATTTTCATCTGTGACATACGGTGTGTAGGATACCTAGAACCGTGGAATAGTTGAAAGAATTCCAAAGGGCAAGGTGAAGTTCTACACAGGTGAATCATTCTATGGGAGAACTTTTCAGGGCTTCAGGTGACATACTGTAAGTGTAAGTCTAAACACAACAGATTAAACTTACCAAATGTAATCAAAAGGCGCTTTAAAGGACAACTCACTATAAACTTTAAAAACACATGTAATATGATTTATATTGTAACATCCAGGAATGAGATTTCCATTTCCGTGAAAAAACTCCTTTGCTAATTTTGTCGCGATAATTTCAGAAAGAACACTCTTTCGACACATTTCAGGAATAGGAGATTAAATTTCTATCCAAGTTTTCACATGCTGAAAAACTGAATTTGTAACATTGGTCCTTCCGTCCTTAACACTGTGTTGGGAGGTATGTCTACATCAGTCAACTTCAGATCTGTTGTACATCATATGTCTCGGCAGGTTAATAATACTCTGTTGTTATACCACTTTAATCTAAACATAGAAAATATATAGAAAAAAGTGTTCAAGGATAACGCAAAAGACTGGACAAATATCTAAACATCAGCCGGTATTACACCAGTAACAAAACTCTGATGGACTGACAAATATGTGTTTGGATGTATGGACAGATGTGTGTTTTTCTTTTCATAACTCTTTTGTTCTCTTAAGATTTACACTCTGTGCACAGAGAGAATATTATTTTCTAAATTAATAAATAGACACCATACATTTTGGCTAGGAGCGGAAAATAAAGCAATCTTCGATAGGGTTCAAACGCTTGCACTTCAAATTAAACGTTTTGAAACGCCATGTCAGACACATATGTCAGGAAAGTAACAGTACACGCACCTGTGTTAAATAATATGTATTTAAAAATACACTTCTTTAAAAAAAATTTTAATTTGGTACAGCATGACGATAAAAATTCAGAATTACCAGAGCTTTAAGAAGGGACGCTACTCTTGCTACATTTTAAACGTTCGTGTAATTTATGACAGGAGACGCAACTCCAGCATGACTATCGACGATATATGAATATGACATTGTTTCATATCAGAAGAAAAGGGCAGCGGTCGATGAGGATCGGATAACGGATATCGTCAGTGGATTTGGTTTTACTGGTGGGCGTGTGTATTGAGTATATACAGAGTTATAATGTAGAGCAAACATGTATGTAGCATACTACTTCAACAAGCCATCCCTCTTCAGCATATCATTCCAACAATTGAGTAAACATGATCTAGACTGAAGCCTTAAACTGAACTTTTTGTGTATGTCACGAACGAATGGAGAGGTACACACGTATATCTCTGAACAATGTGTATCAGATCGAATTCCTATAAATACATTTCAGAGTCATGTGAACTAGATTTACCACTATTCGTGATACAGAACATCTCCCTATATCCTACACGTTACAGCCTGGTGAAATTTTGACGAATTCAGAGGTGAATATGCACCATTGTATATAGACAGATATAATTAATGTAAAGGACTTATCAGGGTTATGGAGTATGGAAGTTAAATAGTCTTGTCTGTGAAAGTATGGTACTAATATCTCATTGGGGCTGGGGTCCATAGTTCAATGCTCGTTAATATGGATGATTAGATATTACTATCTCAGCTTTTACATCGATAACGTGACATTTTGTATAAAACCGGAACTGGCTTTCGCGACATCTTTTTTTTTAATCTTCATGGTACTTTTTCAGCTTTCGCGATTAAGGAATAGAATAGATTTTTTTTCTTTCTTTCTGTTTTTTTTCATCGTTCCTTTATATATTGATGAGGAATTTCTTCGTAAATAAGTGTGGTGTTGTGTTAGTAATTGAGACCATTTAATCCTGTAAATATATATGTATATCTACTGGTAAATACAGAGATGTTCATGTTGACATGTAACTGAAGGACATGTGATTAAACTTTTTACATGTAATTTCGCGCTTTCCATATAATTAATCGAATCAGGAGATTAAAGTGATTATGTTAATTTTATTTTGTCTGTCATGGTAATTTACCTTTTAAATTTGGTTTACAGATAATATTTCAAAATTATTTTTTCAAAAATAGCAACGCCTGGTAAAATCAGACAGTTCTGGTGACTTATGATTCTAATCAAACGCAGTCGAACCTAAGATAACGACGTACTGTCAATTTTTGTTTTTTCGTTGGGTAAAATGTTCACGGTTTAACCAAAACTTGATCAAAACGGATGTGTTTATCACTTAAGTCATGAAATGAAAGAGTTTTTCTTCTCTATACAATACAGTTTTTCTTTTTAATGTTGTTTATCTATTTAGTTTCATTTCATCCTCGAAAATACGTGAAAATACAAACACTCGAAATGAAGAAAATCACAGTATTATTACAAAGCATGTACATTGATGACCACCAGGTACACACTATCGGGGTATTAGGGATCTAGATGTACTTCAAAAATATTGTTGAAATTCCTCGCTTCTTATATTATTGTTGTTTGAAATAATGGACCTAGACCTACATCACAAGTAGCCAGACCTTCAATTTATACAAGTGTTTGATAAAGATAATGATGTTAACATTTAGACCCCAATCATTCACTCTGGAATATTTATGTAAGTTTGAGAGTGAATTCATCTCCTGCCGGACCTGATGAATGGTAGACCATATTTAAATATACCGTTTTTGTAAAACTTGTTCTTTCTGTTTTAATCCTGCAAAAATCGATATAAGTTTTACAAATCAACAAAAAAAGTTCCATAATAAGTAAATATGAGTTCGTGTGCAATACTAGTACTTAATTATGTAACAGTATTTTCAATTCTCAAACTTCTGAAGCAAAGAAATAGAATATTTCTTATTCAGATCACCATGACGACCGTAAAACTTTCCTATAATTTTCCTCAACCTACATCTTTTGAAACCCTGAATTACGAGTTTGTCATCACGTGATGATTTTTTGCACGAAAATCGTGATAATGGTAACAAGCTCCTGACTATCGAATCAACTGTGATATATAATTCCTTGAACCGTTATGACTAAATGTAGATTCATTTAACGATGGGCAGCATATAAAGTGTTGTAACAGGTATTTTTGTCTTTCTTGGCCTCGTCAAAACACAGCTTTATATGTCTGAAACATTGACCACGTGTTCTCTATTTGATTGATGGGTTATCACAAAATGTAACATTCCTTTTATAAGTTATAAAAAACTACACGGACATGTTTGTACATGAAACTACAGGTTTTCAGGGTAACAAGCCGGACGCCATACCCACACTACTCCACCACTATAGGAAGATAATAACGTCTTTATTATCCTTCAATACACAAGTATTTTATCTGACGTCCTTTAAAATGCAAATACATAAAGTGTTACAATGCAAACAACGCTGTATTTCCATATAAGGAAATTTTATTTTTCAAGTACACATGTGTAAACCGGAAACAAGTGCATGTACTTCCTTTTATATAAATATTTGGACAAGTTGTTTATCATACCGGTTTATCTAGCTTCTATAAAGATGTATAATTTAAACATTGAATACTAGTAAGTTCGATTGAAAATTGATAAAGTAATATGTGATTTGCATGATATTAAATATCTCGATATCAACTAACTATAAAGAAGTATGAATTATGGTATGATAAATGACATTCAGCACTTGATCGCTACGACACTATTAGTGTTGTTAAAGAAACGGCCGAGGGCTCCCGCGCCGTCAATAAATTGTTTTAGTTAAAATGATATAATTTTCTACATTGGCACTGAATTGACTTGTGGCATTTATGACCACTATAAATGACATGGCATTGAAGGCGAGTGTACTATACTTGAGCTTAGAAAGCTCCATGAACACATCATATGATGTTCGACAGCAAAGCTATGCCATTAATAATGATAGAGTACCGTAACGAGACGGTTCAGTGTCGAAGCAAAAAGTGTACTATGTTAAGCATACTTTATTTCTTGATCGCAGTCAAGGTTAGAACCAGAGATTAAAGGACAATGGTCCCTATGAATCAGAAATTCTATGTAGTTTGTAAGTCATATTGTGTGGGTGATATCTCTCCAACAGTTTATGTTAAAATATTAAAACTGGATGTTCAATAATTAGTGTACATAAAAATCGCAAGAATTTTGTTTTATCTTTAAAGTTCTCCGGCACTGCATATATATATTAATTTATCTATCTATTGTTTTTTTAAATTATTATACAATATATTACAAATGAATCCTTCCTACTATAACATTTGTTATTTTGAACTCTCTGTGTATTGTATTGATATTAAAATCTCAAATATCAGTGAACAAAATTTTTTAAAAATTGTAAAATCCGTGTAATGATGTCTCGCGTCGTTATTTCTGTCTTTGTCCGTACAACAGCTGCAGAGTGACACATCATTATGAGTAATCCTTAGCCCCTAACCCATCCACACTGATCCTCCCCTAAGTGCGCTATTCCTTACTCATCGCCCATTCATCCCACACTTCATAGACCTGATATACGAAAGACCGCAAAATCTATTTCACACGAATATCCGTGATTATTGTATTTTTTTCCTTGTTTTGATGATGTGATGATAATTTGCCTGGCGATGTTTTGTGTGTCTGTATATAGATATAAAGGAAGTAACAAATACAGCTATATCAAGTATTACATTAAAAATGGTTATCGTTTTTGTCGGAGTTACTGTGAACGGTCAGGTACTCAATGTTTTATCTACATCAGATGGACATCCATATTTTGATGTGAAATTTGCTTCCTTCATGGTGTTCAAAATATTAATATTATGTTACTGGAGTTATGTGATAATTTTATGTCTGTATTATGAACTAAATTACATTGAAATTTATGAAAACGCCCAGATAAAAAATATTAAGATCATGTCATGATGATGTACATATTCATTGTGTGTATTAGCCGGTACAATGATATGACGTCATGCAGATGGTCATTAAGTGTTCGTGACGTCATTACATTGCGGGGATGATATGCACGTTTTGTCTCGGTTTAACATTAACATAGACAAAAAGGTATAGTCCTAGTATGAAATGCACACGTACAACAGGGTATATCTCGGTAAGACATGCACGTGTACAACCGGGTATATCTCGGTAAGACATGCACACGTACATTGTGCAGCGTATCTTAGCAGGCATTGCGTTTAATGATAAGTTATTATGTATAAGCTGATACAGAACTTAAGCCTACCATCACCCTGTCACCCTTGTCTTCCTTCAGGAAGTTCCTCGAGTACCTCGACTTAATCTTCCATCTCAGACATCCGTGCTGAAGGTCGAAACCGGATGTGATAATCTCTAACAGGATTTCCGTAAATACACATTTAAGTGTAGATCGGTATGATGTTTGGCGTGTTTTCATGGCCGAGGTGTGAAGGATGTAAATATTCTGTTTCAAATTTTCACACGTAATAAGTTATGTGTTCGTGGCCAGATATCTGATTACATACGCGTATGGTGTATTTGACTGGTTACTCTGTACAATTCGTTTACACGCACATGTCCGACCAGTAAAACATGTACCCATAGGCCATAACACAATACATTTCTATTTGAACATAAATGGCAATGATATTTACCCGTTTGTATCATCATGCTTTTTTTATTTCATTTGTTTTGTTTACAAGTTTATAGTGGACTCAATTAGTGGGTTGCGAAATATTTGAATATATTTGCGTTTTTTTTTCTGCTATTGTTTAGCGTGTATATTTCATATCATGCATGGGGTTTTCTATTTGTATGGTGCTATGTTTGAGGTCTTCTATTTGTATGGTGCTATGTTTGAGGTCTTCTATTTGTATGGTGCTATGTTTGAGGTCTGATATTTGTATGGTGCTATGTTTGAGGTCTGATATTTGTATGGTGCTATGTTTGAGGTCTGATATTTGTATGGTGCTATGTTAGAGGTCTGATATTTGTATGGTGCTGTGTTTGAGGTCTTATATCTTTTTGGGGCAATGTTTGAATTCTATATAATTTTGAAATACCGCTTTCCTTTGTTTAAAAGTTTAACGCAATTTTTAACGATCCTCCAGGAACATGACTTCATTAACGAGAGTGATGTGTAATGTAGGGTATATACTTAACTTTGTCCTTCATCATTGTTAGCGTATGCCTTTTGCTCTGGAGAAATAATTCTACGCTTTCTGCGAATCATGATATACACAACAGCATTCCAAACTCCTCCGGCGTTTCCGAAGAAAGTACTAATGATATAGAGCGAAATGGGACCTTTGGCAAACATCAGCCACACACCGTACACTGCTATTGCCCACCACTGTACACAGAACGATATCATAAAAAGGAACATTTTCTTAGCTGCTACGTGAGTCCGTGTAACAGACCCTGTGAATCCACCTAGTGATTTAGCAAGGCGATTTGTCTCGCTTCTAATTTTGTACAATGTCAATCCGTACAAAATAGCATTGTTACCCAAAACGAGGCAAATCGGCAACGTAGTTATGTAGAAGTTAACCTTTCTTGCAGTCACACTATCGAGTAAACAGCTGAAAGTAAAAAAGGAAATTGCGTAATAATTAACAAATAGTTATATGTACTATACATTTAAGTAACTCTAAAAATCATGAAAGTTAATGGAGTGTGACAGCTAATTTCAACATTTCAAAAACAAAAATTAATTAAGGCCTTTTTTTTCTCCGCTAATACTATCATTGTTAGAACTATTCTGTACAGTTATATTTCTTATCATGAAAACGCTGATTTTGTAATTGGAAAGATAATTTTGGACACAAGATGTTCGCAGAGGATGGTTTCATCACTACATTAGTATTGATAGTGATAGTACATTTGTATTCTAAGGTACTTTGCAGTTGGGAAAAATGCAAATATATCATTCTGAATACGACCAGATGACGTGCATCGTCTATACTCCAAGGGTTACGATCAACGTCATGGCAAAATTGAAGGCACAATAGAAGTAATTTGATTGGTTCCAGAGGGAAAAACTGACCAATCACACGATACGATCCTTTTAAAAAAGGTTGGGTGATGTGACGATCTTAACCTTCAGTTTTTGTTTAAATAATACATATTTACATGATCTTTTTAGTTGTATAATCAATCTGGACCCGGATATTACTGATTGTCAACTATATGTAGCGTTAAAAACACATAATTTAATATACAGGATTAACGGTGAACATCTGAATTTGTTCTTGGTCAGTATCTGTGTACTTGTATACGAGTTCGATGAGAACACGTCTATGTTTGTTTATGAACCAAACAAATCATTGTGTGTTTGGATTGTAGAGTCATTGGGGTGCAAATTTCATTTAAAGATTGCATGTTCTGCAACAAAGAGAATGTCGTTGACAAGTTAAGCAAACAAAACAAATGAAATGGACTGATCCGTGGAGTAAATATGTTGTCACGTATTATAGATTTGATTCAATATCACCTGTTTGTTATTAGTTTTTGCTTTTCAATGAAGTATTTCTTTTATAAAAACAAGCATTTGCATGATTTTTAAGTTATAATAAACAAGAAAAAATACAAATGATTACAAACAATTCATCATTGTGAATAATTTACGAACTAATTGAATGAGAAATGTACCTGTGTGATTGATTTGTGATTTCAAAACGAGACACGTTGATATCGCCATGTTGCATTTTGACAGAAAACGAGAAAATTTCATCTGTGGTGGCATTCCAGTCTTTTTCATGTTAAGTCATATTGATTTTTTTTTATCTTTTATGATCAAATATGATTGATTCGTGATGAACTAGTCAACATTAATTCCCCACTTTTTAAAAAATATTTTATTGAAGTTGTAATATTGGTATGCCTTAAAAAGTTCGTCTTGTATTGTGCCAGGTATATTAATAGGCGAAATCTCAACAGAATACACACACGAACATACGATTATAGGCAATATTTTATTAGAGCATCAGGCGGGGGTACATTTTAATACATGACCAATCTATCTCATTATATCTCCATATGTTAAGGAATTGATGATGTATCGTGTTTCTTTCTCCTAGAATAATTACTTCCTTCTTCCATTAATTAACATTACCCTTACTGAAGACTATCGTCAATTAAAATCGAGTCCGGGTGATTGGTATTTTGCACGGAGTATTGAGAAAAGAATTTTACAATAACTATATTCTGGCAGGCTACGATCATTTGACTCTAAGAGGTGGTATGTTAAAAAAGATCATCTAAATATACCGAAAACTCCTTAACTAATTTTCTCGCAACTTGTAGGTACATTCCTCAAAGTGGAATCCGCCTTTTCTATCCCAAAGGAAAGGCACAACTGAGTCTTTTAAAACCTTCATTTTCATCTAGATTGAATGGTAGTAAACCTGTACAATTTTTTTTCTAAAAGTCACCAACAAGCCGAAAATACAAGGTCAATATAGCTACGATTGCAACTTGAAATTACAGAAAAAGAATTACAGAAGAAAAAGAAGGCCCATCTACTTTTCCTAACAGACATCGCTCTGCTGAGTCAGTGCTGACATCCCCAAATAATGGCATGCAACATATAAGTACTATACACGTGGGGACAGAATTACCATGATAAAAACCTAGAAAATTCACAAGAGGAATAATTAGTAATGCTACATACTAGATCAGATTCAATATGTGTTAACGATTGTCAGGATCAACAAGTGAACTCTAAGGTAAAAGCAAAAATCTTTTAAAATCTTTCAAGTAAAGAGCATTACATTTGTCAAAAATATATTGCAAATAGTCAAGGTGACCATCCACGGCAGATTTTAGAAAATGAATGGAGGAAATGGAGAAGGTTATTAGAATCTGGGGAGAATTAAGTTGTAATTTGTACTGTTTTAATCAGTTTGGTTGTGATTATGAAGGCCTTTTACTTATCAAGTATCTATTAACATTTTACTCCTCCTTGCAGACTAATTTAAATTGTGTGTGAAAACATCAGTGATAAGGTAATTATTTTTCCATATGCATATATGTTTTGATTTTCTGTTTAAATGCATACCTAGCCCAACCACTCCTCTCCCCCCTATCTCTCTCTCTCTCTCTCTCTCTCTCTCTATCTTTTCTTTCATTATCTTAGTATTAATAAAGAATACCTCTTTCTGCAGTGTTTATTTTTTTTCACTTCTGTGGAAAGTATGAAGATGTGTGCGAGGATGTATGTACAATGTATGTTTGTTACAGTTTTTTTGTTAATATGGTGATTGTGTTGATAATATTAATGCTGAGAAAGTGTATGAGGAAGTGAGGGTGTGAAAGATGTATGTGTGAGGATATGATTGATGAAAAATTATGATTATATTGATTGACAAGTATAAATTGAAGAGTATGATGATGTTGTTAATGATGATGCTATTGATAATGATGATGACGATAATGTTGATAATGATGATGATGATGGAATGATGGATGACTACGATGTTGGTGTTGATGATGATGATGATTGTTGATGATATTGGATGATGATGATTTCGGAATGAATGATGATGACGACGACAGTGATGATGATGATGACTGTTGATTGTGGTTGATGATGATGATGACGATGATGATGATGATGATGATGATGATGATGATGATGATGATGATGATGATGATGATGATGATGATGATGACTGGTGATTGTGGTTGATGATGATGTTTGAATATGGATGATGATGATGATGATGATGACTGGTGATTGTGGTTGATGATGATGTTTGATATGATGATGTTTGAATATGGATGATGATGATGATGATGATGATGATGATGATGATGATGATGATGATGATGATTGTTGATTGTGGTTGATGATGATGATGATGATGATGATGATGATGATGATGATGATGATGATGATGATGATGATGATGATGATGACTGGTGATTGTGGTTGATGATGATGTTTGAATATGGATGATGATGATGATGATGATGACTGGTGATTGTGGTTGATGATGATGTTTGAATATGGATGATGATGATGATGATGATGATGATGATGATGATGATGATGATGATGATGATGGTGATGGTGATGATGGTGATGGTGATGATGATGATGATGATGATGATGATGATGATGATGATGACGATGGTGATGACGATGACGATGGCGATGGCGATGATGGTGATGATGATGATGATGGTGATGATGATGATGATGATGATGATGATGATGATGATGATGTTTGAATATGGATGATGATGGTGATGATGATGATGATGATGATGATGATGATGATGATGATGATGATGACGATGATGATGATGATGATGATGATGATGATGATGTCATGCTCTATATGATCTTTTTGAAAATTAAAAGAAATATAAAAAAAAAAATCTTTTCTAATTAAGTGATTGGCAAAATTATATCAAAATGAACTTGACAAAGAAAGGTTGTTTTGTATTTGTACTAACAGATGTGTTTAAATCGCCTCTAAAAGTAATGTATGAAAGTAAATGCTTCAAAGCATACTTCAACTTTAAAAGATATTTAAAATGAAAAGAATCGTAAATACTGTTGATAAAGAATTACCGTTGTTTGCTTTGTAGCATACTTACTAAGCTCCATTTGGGCCAATAGCGCCTGCAATCAGAGAACCAACGCCGACGAGAAACGGACACAGAATAACAGTGAGAAACAACTTCCAGTCATATTTGCCAAAAGAAATATTCTTCCGTAAAAACATCATGCAAAATATGTTAACGGCTACAAATAGAACGAGAATGACTTGCGCAAATCCAAGTTGTAGCGTCATAAACCCGTGTAGTCGACAGAGTTCTATTGGATAAACAAAATTTGTGGTAACTATCATCTGGATGTGTTCAGCAGAATGAATAACGTTGAATGTAGCATCGCACGTTGCAGTATACACGATGAGGCGCTCACTTTTGGTTCTATCGAAGAAGTTTTTATATTTATGTTGTTTTAGGGAAAGTACAATGACAATTATTGCGCATATGAAACTAGCACTTATTGCTATCAGAGCGGTCACATGTATGACATAAAACTGACCACTGTCTAGTCCCAATGGACGTTCATCGTAACCACTTTTCATCATCAAGTTTTCAGAATATATGCTTATGTCGTCAGAATATCATACAGTGTTGAATTTTTAGTCCCTCGCAGACAATTTTTCTACATCTAGATACGTCCTGGTCACTTGTGAACAGATGCTGTGTCATTAGAGCTAAAAAGTACTCGTTAATGAAATATCGATCCAAGCTCGCGAATAGGATACCATTTTAATATATGATAATCGCCAGTAGACATGGGAGGTTTAAGTAAACATTCTGGTCTTGTCGTTCAGCTTAATATGATTAACAACGAATATCATCTTTTTGAAATGTTCAAAACTAGTTCACATGCAAGGCAAAAAAATGAATTGTATGCTTTTACATTACATAATATACGACTTAACAGTTATTAAAAAATATTGATGGACGATACGTGTAATCAAGTAGATGTTATCTAATACAATCGATTTGCCGCTGAAACCATTAAATTGATGAATGTGTTTCAGTATGGAAAAAATTGAAAAGAACAGCGACCAGAAGATGACGATCAGTGATCTTTCAATCCATATCGGGTTACATTTGGTACCAAAAAATGTAAACAAGCCAGATCATAAAGAGTAAAATTTAGTAAATCATTTTAAACATCACCTGGATCATTAAGAGAGATTTAGTAAACCATGTCACATATCACCTGGATCATTTAGAGAGATTTAGTAAATCATGTGACATATCACCTGGATCATTTAGAGAGATTTAGTTAATCATGTCAAACATCACCTGGATCATTTAGAGAGATTTAGTTAATCATGTCAAACATCACCTGGATCATTTAGAGAGATTTAGTAAATCATGTCACACATCACCTGGATCATTTAGAGAGATTTAGTAAATCATGTGACATATCACCTTGATCATTTAGAGAGATTTAGTAAATCATGTCAAACATCACCTGGATCATTCAGAGAGATTTAGTAAATAATGTCACACATCACCTTGATCATTAAGAGAGATTAAGTAAAGCATGTCAAACATCACCTGGATCATTTAGAGAGATTTAGTAAATCATGTCACATATCACCTGAATCATTTAGAGAGATTTAGTAAACCATGTCACATATCACCTGGATCATTTAGAGAGATTTAGTTAATCATGTCAAACATCACCTGGATCATTAAGAGAGATTTAGTAAATCATGTGACATATCACCTGGATCATTAAGAGAGATTAAGTAAATCATGTTACACATCACCTGGATCATTAAGAGAGATTTCGTAAACCATGTCACATATCACCTGGATCATTTAGAGAGATTTAGTTAATCATGTCAAACATCACCTGAATCATTTAGAGAGATTTAGTAAATCATGTGACATATCACCTGTCACATTTAGAGAGATTTAGTAAATCATGTGACATATCACCTGGATCATTAAGAGAGATTAGGTAAATCATGTTAAACATCACCTGGATCATTTAGAGAGATTTAGTAAATCATGTGACACATCACCTGAATCATTAAGAGAGATTTAGTAAATCATGTCAAACATCACCTGGATCATTAAGAGAGATTTAGTAAATCATGTGACATATCACCTGGATCATTAAGAGAGATTAAGTAAATCATGTGACACATCACCTGGATCATTTAGAGAGATTTAGTAAATCATGTGACATATCACCTGTCACATTTAGAGAGATTTAGATAATCATGTTACACATCACCTGGATCATTTAGAGAGATTTAGTAAGTCATGTCAAACATCACCTGTCACATTTAGAGAGATTTAGTAAATCATGTGACACATCACCTGGATCATTAAGAGAGATTTAGTAAATCGCTATGGTACAATTACATGAGGTGATGAAACATCACATAGTTACTGAACAGTTGTAAAGATAAGTTATAGAGATGAAACCTCTCGAATATCTACGTTTTTATATTAAAATGAAAGCAAAGAAAAATTTGTATTGATTTAACGGATGAGTGTTCATTGACAGGATGTTATATCGAGCCACTTGCTGAATAAGTTTTGAATTTGACTACCATTGCTAGCTATGTAAGTACCTGGCTATTCATCAGGTAAAGCCAAGGAAAGATTCTAGAATTAAAACCTCATAATAAACTCGGTGACAGAAAATACAAAACACTGCGAACAGATCTATATAGTTAAAATGTGCTAGACTAAGATAAATTGACGTGTAAAAACTAAGTGGTTGGGAGGGACGCGTGACTTCCGTCATCGGCTTTTTAAAAATCAATAATGTAACTGAATCACACAAGTTGGAATTGCTTTTGTCTTTGGAAGATCACTCCAAATAAACTCTTGTTTGCATGCCTTATTTATAGTTATTTAACAAAGTGCTCCACATAATGTGTTATACGGTTTCTCGCGTCTGGACTTAAATTTAAAACACATGCTTTAATCGTATACAAGCGTGTGTTATTTAGCAAACGCAAAACTCCATCGTTTCAAGGAATGATTTATTGTTTCGACAAAAGAGTGTCATACAAAAGTATCTGGTATTTGTGAACAAATACACTGAAAACTAACTCGTTGAACTAAAGAATAGAAACGCAACCTTTTGTTGTTTCAACCTTCATATTAGATTCTTGTACCTTTTCAGCCGTCCTCGTGTAAATCGCTTATCTATATTTTGTCCTAGTTTCATTACACATTAGTTTGATTAAAGATTTTGTTGATGTTTCGTTTTGATTAAGTATGCTATTCTAGATTTACATTAAAAGGCAGCTAAGGCATTAGCTTAATCTATGTATCGGAAACACTATACAAAATATTTTTATTGTCAAATGTTTTGTTCAATAGATATACGAGTTATTTCCCTTGATATTCTTTCCAAAAATAACTAAGAGTTATGTCCCTTGAATTAGAGGGCCATCGGTCATCTGATTGGTCAGTTACTTTCGCGCGGATGCTGAGACCCCTCTCATAACGCAGCCATCTTTAATTGTATCAATACGTATTTCAATTAGTGGAGTGGATTTGCATTTGTCATGCAAAATTTACCCACCCACTTCCACCCTATTGTCTGTTTTATAGTAACGTTATTTATTATCAGCAATTGTGGCGGTTTTTTTTTGTTAACCCCACATTGGCTTTTTATTATAATTACTTAAAAAATCATCTTTTGTTCATTTTATGGTTTATGTAACTGTAAGATATGTTTTTAATTTCATAAATAAATACAAAGTCACCCTCTCTGTAAGGGTGGCCTTTTTCATTCATATTCATTGTTGTGTCGTTTCTTGTCCTAGTGTGCAATTACATAAAATGTGCTTTGTGTCTTTACTAAAAGCCATTGACGCGATTCTTCAAGAAGATTTCCGAATATGCTGTTTCATTGCCAATTGCTCTTTTGTCCTTGAATCCCAATTCCAGGAAATCATGTTGCCTTAACTACAAAAACCACAAACACGTGATGAATCATGGTTTAAACAGATGACAGCTCTTATGTTTATTCGTGAATCAACTTCATACAACCATGTCAAATATACTACGAAATTTTGCAATATGATCTGCAGTTAAATTAACATTGCGTTATGCCCTTCCAAAAATAACTGTTCTCAGAAAACATTGGTTAGAGACAAATGGTTGAAATCATGGCCATTTTTCTTCCTATGTAATATTACTAAAACCTGTTACGAAAACATAAAATCAAATTGGATTAAATACATTATGATCACTACAAATAATTGTGTTTATACTAATTCATCGAAGCACCATGACTATATAGCAGTGATGCTATATAGTGTTAGTTTACATGAACTTACAGTAACTTCACTTTTTGTATGTTTCCATGGCAATCATTGAAAGTTAGCAAGATCAATATTCACGCCAATTCGTTTGTCAGAAAACACCAATCAAAGTTTAAAAACACGATGTTAATGACATGATTTTGAAAGTCATATTAAAAACCGGTTTTGTTCCTTTCTGCAGCAACCTGATTATTTTTGTTCATATTTTGCTGTGAATCAACCAATCTCCGACGTCTGCGAATAATGACATAAACTATTCCATTCCAAACTCCTCCAGTGTTTGAAAAGAAAATATTTACTATATAGAGTAAAATAGGGCCTTCGCCAAATGCTGTCCATACACCGTACACTGACAAAGCCCACCACTGAACAAAGTAAGAAATGAGAAACAAAAACATGTTTTTAGCAGCAATATGTGTCCGTTTTGTTGCTAAGGACGCACCACCTAACGTTCGAGCGAGGCGTCTTGTTTCCGTTCTTATCCTGTACCATGAGAGTCCATACAAAATAGCATTGTTGACCAGAACCAGACATATTGGTATCGTCGTCAGGTAGAGATTTAAATGTCTAGCTGTTACGCTGTCGAAGAAACAACTGAAAATAAAAGAAACAAAGACATTGATAATAATGTATCGATGTTTGGCTGTTACTTATAATTACAAAAAAGATACACGGAGTAAGCTATACAATAAGGCTGTAAACTTAACCAATGTCAAAGTATTGTTCAAGTGAATAACACCATTCCTTATTCATCTATATGCAATAAATTCAAAATTCTATAAATTGGCACAACCAGTAAAAAATTCAACTGAATGATAAAGGAAATGAATGACTTTTTTTTTTGGACCTCAAACACTTTTTTTTTAAACCATAGTCTCTTAACAGACACAGATATAGGGAATATAACGAAAATGTTGAGCGACATTAACAGTTAGAAGCTTATTATCCTGGTTATACCAAATGTTTAAAGAATGAACAGATTGTACTTTCTTGGGAAAAAATCCAGAAGGACTGATTCAAGGGCTTGATTCTACGTTCAATATATATTATATGTTTGCAATTTCTTCCCATCCTCAAAAATAACGAAACCATTTCGGCAAAAGCACCATTACAGATGATACACCTTAGACGGCATTGCAAATTTCAAGTTCGGCCCCATACCTAAACAGCAAACATTAGACGCACAGCGACAGTTTACTGACTGGAGAAAGATGATCTTTTTACAAGTGCATTACAGACTTGTTGCGTTCAAATGTTACCGTTTCACTTGCCTGTTGAATCCATCGGAACCTCACTATCAGCCTCGATTAAACGCCCATTAATGATCACAACACCAAAGTGATACGCATCAATAATATTTTATAGATTAACATATCAATAGAATAATTTAGACCATGGGTTATATAAACGACAGCATGAATAGTGAAGGATGACAAGCAATGAATATATATTATCTAATCCGGATATGGAATATGTCATGAACGGAATTTAATCTAGATGACCACAATTGCAACCAAGTGTCATTGAGACCAGTGTTATTGAAACACACCTGTTAACATAAACTCGGTTTTCAGTTTGAGTGCTTCGGTACAGAGGAATACAGTAACAACACCATTCGATCATCCTCGGCATTTGTCACCCTGCCGGATACGATATGTATCATATTAACGCCGATTAATTGTACGGACCTTCGGGTAGAGAGACGCATATAGGTAGACTAGATTGAGAACATCTTTCTTTGTAATAAATCACTTTTAGTGTGATGGTTGAAAAGTGTAATTGTGTTGCTACATAAGACATTAAGTAAAGTATTGAAGTATGGTTGTTTCTTTTTCATTTGCTCGATAATATCGTTTCTGAATTCTTCTATCAATCTATGGGCTCTAATTACCTTCTCCGTGTCATACATGTATCTAATGTCTCGACCAAAATAAAACAAGTTCCAATTTTTCAGTAAAAAAAAAAATGTATCGTTTGTGACAAATCACAAACATTTGCTTCAAAATATTTTTTTATTTTGAATCAATAACCTTCTCATCCCCCACCCCAACAGAGTATTGATACACGTAAGAATATCGACAACTAAATACAGTATATCTAATATCACGTTAGGCATACTTAAACTGTATTACGTAAACACACATACAATCTTAGCCTAAAAGATTAAAAAAAGTCTCATAACAAGGCCCGTTTTTATAGGATCCTTTTTACTCGTACTACATCAGAGAGAGTCACATTATTGTTTTAATGTTGTCTATTGACAAGATACCGGTTAACTTCCGGTTAAGATAATATTAATTATCATTTTTATTTCTCTTTGATGCTCTTGGTACAGCTTCATACGAAGTAATGTAAAATGTTTTTTTCTTATGGTTTAAACTTTCGCGTGATAATAGTTTTAAAGATGTAAATGAAAAGTGATTTTTTTTGCGAATATTAGTGAAATATATCGATGTAAAAAACACATTAAAATTATTTGTACTTACAAAGCCCCGTTTGGACCAATTTTGTCGGCTGCCAAGGAACTGATACCAATTAGGAAAGGACCGAGAATAACAGAGCTAATTAACCTCCAGTCATATCTTCCAAATGAAATATCTTTATGCAAAAACATCATGCAGAATATGTTAACAGCGACGATCAAAACGAGAAAGACTTGAGCGAATCCAAGTTCGAGTGTCATAATGCCATGGAATTTGCAAAGTTCTTTTGGTAAAACGAAGTTTTTCGTTATCAACATTTGAATGTGTTCAGTGGAATGGATGACGTTGAACGTAGCGTCACAAGCAGCAGCATAAACTATCAGTCGCTCAGTTTTAGACCGGTCGTAGAACTTCTTAGTGTTTTGTTGCCTTATGGAAAGTCCCATAATAATCGTGGCACATGTGAAGCTTGCACCCATAGCCACAAGAGAGATCACATGGATGGCATAGAATTGACCGCTGTCCACTCCAAGTGGTAGTTCATCATAGCCACTGCTCATTTTGGCGTCATCAACAATGCAAATCTTCGATAAAAGGTTACTAGACACTATATGGAAGAAATAAAGAAATCATACATCGACATATATCAACGGTAATGACAAATAAAGGACAAATAGAGATACATAGGGATTGTTTCACATACAATCGTTGTAACAATGCAAACCCCTAGTCACGTATTGATCATCCTTCACCTGTATAGAAAAACGTGTGTTAAATAATATGGTCCAAACAATCAAACGGAACTATTTCATTTATGTCTGAACATCACAATAAGCATTTAGTTCAATATCAATGTGCCCTTATCCCAATTATCAGCTCGCTTAGACCTCGTTATCACATAGGAGACTGACGTATGCTCCCAGCTCGTTATCGTTACAAATGATGTTTTCTGCTTATTCAATCAATGAGATTCACTGTATTTACAAAATGCTCCGATAAAGGATGTATGAGTCTACCATGTTATAAATACTTTTGACAGTTTCATTAAAACAAATGAAATATCATATAATTTTTTGTATTTCCATGACAACAATTTTATTAAAAGCTAACTGTATCATTCTCAAACTATAGAAAAAAAACATGAATAAAAGTGTTAGCAATTATTTTGGCATGTTGATCGACATTACCTCGAAACGTTCAGCCACGTTTTGGTGCTATGTAATCAACAGTATACCAAGTTGAATAAAAGGCACATTGCAGCAACAATTCACAAAGGAACACGTGAAGGCGACTCTTTGACTCGTTTCACTAACAAGATCTGTGTGTAACTGAAAGGAATTCTCTTATAATGAAACCTTTCTTTGTCCAGTGATGTATTGATGTTGTGTTCTCCATCAATAACAAGCAAATTGATTGCTATTTAAAAAATCCTACTTTTCGTTACCATTTCCTACAGAAACAGTACTAACACTAGTAATTACATTCATGCCAAGTTTAACTGTTCATCACTTCGTGGACTTACGGTATCCTTGAAATCAAGACGGCATCCTTAACAGTATAATACTTTGTGTCTTAGACTTACGTTCTGAAGGAGAGAAATGTCCTTATCTAATGAGCATCACACCAAAACCTGGATTATTCCGATGCTAAAAAAACCCAGGGAAATTGCCGGAACCATGTGAATACTTTCTGATTGTAACAATACGCCAATGAAACTTTGTCGCCTGTGGATGTTTTCCAATTATTAATTAATTCCGATTTGATTATTACTAAAGCTGAAGCCGTCTACTCTCCCATAGTTACCGTTGAAAAATATTTAGTTAGTTGGAACTCCTAGTCCATTCAAATTGGAGCACATCTTCGATGTGGTTTATAGTGTAACACAGGTAGAGGTTGTTACACCTAAACCCTAAACAGATTTTTGTGTGTAGTTGGTTGTCTGTAATGGGATCGTGTTGTGGTGCAAAGGATATGAACACAAAGGCCTAAAGAGTGATAGTGAATTCACGATCACAAGCAGGTGGAAACGTGATATACAGTCAAACTTCGATAATTCGATATTCAAGGGACCGTCATAAAAATATCGATACATCGGGACTTCGATACAAAAATAGTTCAGTCAAATAGCTGGTCCACGTAATAGGGGTCCGTATTTCATCGGCATTGTAAATATCACAGGGCTGATATTCTTGAAGAATAGACTTCAATTTAGTCTGCCAATCAAGCATTTGATTGGATTGGGAGTCAACAGATTTTGATTCCCCACAGACTTTCTTAAATGAAAGATTATTTCTTTCTTTAAAGCGGTCTAACCAGCCTGTAGATGATTCAAAGTCAGATAGGCCTAATTTGGTAGCAAACTCTTTTGCTTTAAGTTTTACTACTTCCCCAGATGGTGGAATATTCTGAGATCGTACCTGGGCGAACCATTTAATGAGTGCGTTTACATCTATATATATTCTCCTTTCAGTTTACTTCTAATTACAACCAAATTTTATGTACGAATAAATGTTTCATTGTGTTCCAAGTGTTAATTTGTTTTTTGTTGATTACAAAACTTGTTGAGTAAAAAGGAATTCATGAAATGGTCTGTTTTCTCCTCTCAAGTTTCTTTGTCCTTACATCACATTTATGTACCCTCTGCACTATAATTTGAAGATGGTGATCTGATCTACTGTGACAATTTTTATCCTTGCTTGGTGTGTCGGAACCAATATTACGTCATCGCTCACCAAATACACTTGATAATACATGAATATTCAAATTAATTTTGTTTAGATACTTATTCCAGACAACGTGCAGTATTGGAGAGTTATTTCCCTTGAATCAGAAACTTCTCAGAATTTTTATAACCGAATTGTGCCTGTCAGTGTTTCCGATCACACTTGTGAACGCACGGTATGGGTAGTGATGATTAGGAAAGCAACCTGTATTGAAGAAGAACAGCAGAGGTCAAGCTCAGTCGGCGTTTATTTGCTGTGGTCAGGGCAAAGAGTGCCAACATAATTTGATATAATTCGGCAAAAGTAAAGTACATTGATTACCTTATTTCAAAATTAACGTCACAATAATAACTACTGGTTTTATCTTTCAATAATTGAGAATCTAAGCTGCGGTTTAATGTTGTAGATCTAGATCTGTACGTAGAAAGAATACAATAACTATGTACAAAGATATAAATATCAAAACGACGGATACTATACAATGTTCACCACATTAGTTCGTCATATAGTTCAAATTACAAAAAAAAATTGTATAGTGTATGTACAAACTTATAACACATTTCTAAACTCAGTAGAAAACTAGAAAAAAAATGAAAATAGCAGAGGGCAAGTTCAGTCAAATTTATTTGCTGCGGTCAGGGCACGGTGTGACCCTACCCTTCGCGTCACTCCTGTTACCTCTATGTCCGCACTCCACTCAGGGGTACCAATAAGGAAAATTTAATAAGAAAAACATTTCTATTTGACCTATATCATCACATCCTGGTATGATATAATCAATGCTTCTTGTTTGTTGGTGTCCAAAGTCTGAGGTAAAACGTCTGCCGGTGATAAAGTCTCGAACCGCGATCCAGAATTGGAGGGCTGGCGATAATGACTCGAACTCGCGATCCAGAATTGGAGGGCTGGCGATAATGACTCGAACTCGCGATCCAGAATGGAGGGTTGGCGATAATGACTCGAACTCGCGATCTAGAATTGGAGGGTTGGCGATAATGACTCGAATTCGCGATCCAGAATTGGAGGGTTGGCGATAATGACTCGAACCCGCGATCCAGAATTGGGGGGTTGGCGATAATGACTCGAACCCGCGATCCAGAGTTGGAGGGTTGGCAATAATAACTCGAACCCGCGATCCAGAATTGGAGGGCTGGCGATAATGACTCGAACTCGCGATCCAGAATTGGAGGGCTGGCGATAATGACTCGAACCGGCGACCGGGAAGTGGGGTGCTTGTTATAAAGTCTCGAATTTTGTTGTTCCAGGTATGCTCATGAGGTGTTCATATTCAAATGCAAGGATTTCCGTACTCACAGAAACTTTGGTAACAAAAATGTGGGATGGAGACTATGGATGTAAAATGAAAATTATATCAGAAACTGCTTTTTTTAAACAAATAAATAAGACTTTGTCAAGTAGAACGTTTTAATCTTTAAATATTGCAATAAATTAGATATGGCCGTAGAGTGACTCAATTAAAAAAATGTCATTCTTTCTTTCAGGCGATGCATGGGTTTAATTTCTGAGTAAAATGCCAAATCGTTAGTGTTAGTGCAGGTTGTTATCAACATGAAAACCAAAGCAGTAAAAGGAACAGTTTAATATAGATTATGATCTGTTTTAGCTTTTTAAAAATAATTCGTTTTAATAGTGGAACCGTTGCGAAATGTATTTAATGCTGGGACTAATGCACCTCACCGTCTAGATTTTGGCTTTTTATTCGATCACTTTGGATTTTCCCCAGTCGCCTTCTAGGATTCAAAATTTAGGCCTTTAGCATCACTGACGAGTCCTAGAAGTTAAAAACAGCTGCAAAAGGCAGTTTTTGAATTAATTCAGTTTTTGACTCAACAGTTTTTAACTCTAAATTTGTATTAAATGGTGTTATTCACTTGTGTGTCATTTTAAAAATCTTTACGTTTAACCGGTGTATGTATATAAACCAACATTAATTGCAGAAATAGCATTTACATGTACAGTACATTATTTGTCATTTCAAAATCAGAAACTGTGACCTCTCCGTTCCACCTTTGGTGATTTGGATTTTGTCTTTCTGTATCGGAAAAGAGGACTCATTTGAGAGTCCAAATATCATACAACTTTCAAATACATTTTTCGACTTATTTGCTTTATTTCACCGATAGGTTCAACACAGATTAGATATCGTTTCGGAAGAAGTGAGAAAAGTTATCTTACACGTCTCTAAAGAAATATCACAATGAACAATGATATCGATATTGATTTAAAAACATATCTTCACTTTACACTACACGTAATGCGATGTTAATAAGGATGTATGAAACGTGCAAGTCTTGGGACAAATAATCTGTGAAGCCGGTGATATTGAATAAGCCGTGGTTATAACATCATTAATGTTACCGGCATGTTACAGTCTAGCATTTTGGTATGAAAATAAGAAAACCACCATGAAAGTGGGTGGAATTGATCTTCGTTTTAATCCCCTATTTAATCAAAATTTTTAATTAAATTGGACAACATACCTTTAAAATGCTCTCCGTTTCGACTTTCATATCGATCTTCCATCTCAAGATAATTTCTTGTACAATAATTAATATCGCTTGCTTGTGTTGTATTACCTGTCGACGAAGTTATGTAAATTTATGTAAATGGAAGTTTGATTTCTAATTACAATAAGATACTTCCTATGTTTAGTCAAGAATTCATAACAATAATCTTTAGAAATGCTTGGCTATCAGATAAAGGAAGAACGGGTTTACTTGCCAAAACATAATAGTTATCCTTTCTTCATAAGATAATAATCAATACTGCGTAGTTATATGTGTTAGACATTTTAAATTATTTGTTTTGATTAATCAGATATAGCAAAACATTTGTCTTTCATAAACTGCAATAATAGTTACAGATTTTAAAGACAGTATCGTCAGCATTTATAACAGGGAGTGTCATTTCCAACCCAGGATATGAAGTGATCATGAAAGATATTAACCATGCAGAAATGAATAAGTGTTTATTGTTGTTATTTTAATTCATCGTTTTGTCGGATTGAGGTCACCACTAAATCCACTACCATAATGATGATTACCTACTATAATAAAGTGTTCCCTAATTTCACATTTGATAACATATGAAACCGCCACTAGCATGAACTATTGGTATAAGTTTTACTAGACAATGATCAATGTAACAGAAGACAAGCACAAACAACCAGTTTTCTGTAAGCACCACAATGGCCACTAGCATTACTTATGAATTCTAGATGGACAAAATGGCTGAATGCTGCAGTATTTTCTTTGATCCTTATTTTCAATTCGTACAGTCCTTCAAGTTCAAGACCGTTAACGATGCCGTGTTTGCAACATTTACCATGACATTCAATTTAGTTAACAATCTTAAAATACGACAGTATCACAACCGCACCAGTTACCAAGCGCTAGGCAGTAGATCTGGCTTGATGAGAAGTGCCTTTGTCTTCAGGTTTTACTGCAATCTGTCTGCGTCTGATAATGGCGTATGTTACACCATTTAATACTCCACCAATATTTGAAAATGTGGTCACCATTTGAGATAAGAACATCGGTGGCTCCTGAAACAAAAGCCATATCCCAAATGCTGTAGCAGCCCACCATTGCACGAAAAACGCTAGAAGGAATAGGATCATGTTTCGGGCTGCACGATGTGACGCTCGTGAGGCACTGCTAGAAGCTCCAAGTGAGTGTTGCAAACGTTTGGCTTCGGACTGGATTCGGCAGAATATCAGGCCGTACAGAACTGCATTAGCTACCAGAATAAGGCTCATCGCAATGGTTGTGAGAAACATGTTGCTGATCTTTGCGTTGACTGCATCAAAGAAACAACTGTAAGAAATGTAGTTGACAATTAATATTATGATGAACTGAAGTAATAAAATCTACAATGAAAAAGTTAATCATCAAATGCGAACACCAAAGGTTAATATCATTTAATACTTGTCAGCTGGTCAGAGAGAACCCGTTGTCATTTTTGTACAATAATGAATGTATTACATACCATACTACATACATACCATAACAACACGTAAAATTCAACCATGATATGACTCTTGGATAATAATTGAATATCCAATAAGTTGATCGCAATCAAAAGTGAGGTTGTCTCATTTGATTGTAATTGATGTTATTAGTAATCTTGGCATTTTCTCATTTAATTATGATTTGTATGTAGGTTTTATTGCTTGGAGCTTGGACGACAATTGGTTTTCAACCTAATTTGATACTTTACTTCACAAGTATACCCCTTCAACGTTATTACAAACACCTGTGCATTGTTCACCTTCTTCCTGTCGTATGATTGTGTTGCTATTTTAATATTCACTCCGGTGTAAATTAAAAAGTAAAAGCTGATGTCCTTAACGTGCATACAGCACACAATGCTAGAAATCAATGATTGACAATTTGTTATTGAAGTGATTTGAATGGAAATAAAACTACTTCAATATTACCGTGTAATGCGAATCACATGTCTATGCTTCAATGACGAGCCCAGTGGAATCTAATTCCAATATTTGATAATACTGCCATAATCTGGAGATATTAACATCATTTATATCAGTCCGTCCCTACATCCAGACTAGAAGGAAATCGATGTTTTTCATCACAGAATATGATTACGAAGAATGCGTTAACTTTTGAATAATGGACCTATTTCTAACGATGCTCTTCTGTATAAGCTGTATTTCACTTCTATTCCAGATGAACAATTATGAAGAGCCAACATTTGTAGGCAGTAACTCTTCATTGTATTTGGAGTGTTCCTAACAGTGGCTATTAAGCTCATTTCATGGTTCCACTACGCTGAAGGGTGTCACACACTGCAAACATGGTTATCCTCTTTTAGATTCACTTTAATCTCATACATAGATCACATGCAAATGTCGAATTGGCTTTGAAGTTCGTCTTTTCCTGATAAATCCCCTTGTTTTATTCTATTCTAGGTATTAATATTAAGTATTGTTGTTTTTGGTCTCACAAAATACTTTTAAATATGGTTGCCAAGCACTATTTGTTTTATCTGTCTTATTGTATTTTACAATTGAATTAAACTGCACTTATTAGCTCGCTCTTCCGATTTAAGACAATACCAGTTATCAATTGATCAACTGATCTCATCAATCCCTACTTAAATCAATTGAAATGTGTTTGTGATGCAAAATCTAATAGTGACTGATTATACGGTATGGAAAACTGCCATGGTAGGATTCTGTCAACCGTTAAACAGCAACATAGGGTTGTTACCTGGACATGTTCGTTGATTCGTTTTCTTTTCAAGGGTTGTAATAGGAAGCAATCAACAGCGGCCCATCCTTCCCATTTTACAACATAAATCATCTTTACAAGTCTTAAGAACGCCTCCCTCGCGGTTTCCGTGCTGATGTAAATATGTCACTTTCGACACTAACATATGCACATATCAAGTTCCCTTATCAATCCACTGAGCGTATTATTCATTTAAACGAAATATTGATGGAAAACCATCCATCTCTTCATGGATTATGTAAACTGTAACCAAAGTACATGTATTTTGTAAAATTTTAGATTAAAAAAGGGATATATTATTTGTAAACAAGGAAAAACGAGAATATCTCCTTTTCCCCAAAGTACCTACTAACCAGGCTAACTACGGGTTACCGGTAAAATGTGTGAATTTTTGGTCACAAATATACATCCCCAGCTCGAAAATGGTCCTTCAATCAAATATGTGATTTCTTTACAGTGGTCTATCGCAACACAACAGGTTTTTGGCGATATTTATGTAAGAGAGTACATGGAAAAATAACGATGATACAAAGACATCTTAGTGTGATGTTTTGAAATGTAACTTTCTGTCGTTAATGTTCAGTCTGTAGTTTCGTTGTTACTTCCCCGTCTCTCACATTGAGGACCTGACAAAACTTTGATTAATTATTTCATTAACTTTATTAATGTCACATATAAATCAAGATATTAACCCTGATTGTATTGCAGTTTTAATATTTTTGGGGTTTTGATCTTTCTTTTGTTCGTCTCTTTGTATTTTCCAAGACTCATTCATTTGGGATTCGCATTACTGTTTTATTGAAATTTTGAATTCTCTTTTTAATTGTCTTTTTTTTTCTTTGCCATTAACAATTCTATTCGGTTCTTTTCTACTTGATGTAGAATTAGCTCCAGCATTTAAAGCTTTTTCACGATCGTTTTACCCGATGTACAGTGCGTTTATTTTCGTTTCGGACACTTTGTACAATCAGTGTGAAATGCCTAAAACAAAATTTACACGATTACAATCGTTTTAGCGATTCGTAAAATGATTATGATAGTAAAAATGCGTATTTAAAGCTAATCAAAGGAGCTATAAATTACAAAGAGGCTCCAGTGATCATGAGAAATCCAACTTCAAACGTTTTTGCTCTAGACGTTACCGAAGACTCAACCACTTTATTTCTAATGATGGATGCATTTTAATGCTATGACAGCAGATATCGTCAAGATGTACTGACACTCAACTCCCTAGACAGACACAGTGCTTGTTTTTACCAGCAGTCTGTACGTCGATTTGATGTAGCGTACAGTGGGTAATTCCAGTAGTCTTAAATTTCATTTGTCATAAATACAGATTGGAAATTACATTTTTCATGGTTTCATTAACGACCCACGATCAATTTTTGAAAATTATCAACTTCCTGAAAAATTTGGCTTTACAATTATATATTTCAATGAAATTTTGTATATTCCGCATTTAATCGTTTTTGTATCAAGACGACTTTTAACAGATATAAAGTGATTGACATAATTCAACATTTTTTCTTCCTACAATTGCCACGGGAATCTTCGCGATGAGCAATAAACCTACATCTTTCACGTTCGATCAGAGAATTACGCAGTTTGAGGGAGCCAACAATTATTTCCACCTCACAAAACAACACTATGTGATTAAGTAGACCTTTATCACTCAGAATATCTCGATACATGTCATTATCTCACCACAAACTGTTATCAAAGGGGTCTCGAACTATGTTATTATGAAGGATTTGCAGCATGGAAATAGCTCCTTCAATTTGTGCCAGCAGAAGTAAATTATGTTTGAACATATCACAATTAGTACTTGTATTTGTTATTTCTAGAGATATCATCTAATATTGATTTGATATAAAACCAAAAAAGTCAAAATACTGCAGAATTTTACGTCCTTCTTATTTAACAATATACGTATCGATTATGAAAGTAGAAAACGGTCAATTATGATGTTGATAATATTGAATTCATTTAAAAGAAATTGCTATCTATGAATGTCAAAATGTTAAAATAATGGTACATTGTAGTTTATGAAGACGGTTTACTTACTATGCTCCAGTTGGTCCGAATTGTCCAGTGGCCACACAGACAATGGCCACTATGAGAGGCGTGATAAATCCCCAAACCAAAAGTCTCCAATCCTTCCGACCAAAGTCTAGGTTCTTTCCGAAGTATATCATGAGAAATGCATTAATGGCGATAACATTAACCATCAGGGTCTGCGCGAAAATAAACTCCAGATTAACAAAACTATAAAACTGGCAAAGCGCCAATGGCCGAACATGATCCTTGGTCAACAGTATGTTGAAATGGTCAAGGGAATGAGAAATATTGAAGCATCCGTCACACAAAGCCAAATACACCACAAGTCGTTCGCTTTTTGTCCAGGTGAAGAAACTTTTAACGCCGTTTTGTTTAAATGAAAATATAACTACTGTAACGGCTGATATAAAGCTTAAGAATATAAAGCATATCGCCAGAATGTGGAGAAGATGAAATCCACCATTGTCCAGTCCGTAGACGGGGACGTCGTAACCGTTACCGTAAGTCATACTTGTTGGACACAACTATGGATGTTTCTGTTGTCCGGGAACGATTCGGTAACGCTTGTGGCGCTGACTGACAGAGAGCCTGGAATAGATCGAACGGATGGGCTCACAATCATCAATAATTTCAAATTGTATCATTATGCAGTTTAGCCAATCAGCAAGGCGGCGAGATCCCCCTGATCTTGTTACCGAACTCCATTCATTGATTTCATTTATTATATTTTATACACAACTTCAACGTCATCATCTGTTTTTTATAAGATATAAGATTATAATTTTGTTCGAAATTTAAGATATTATTAAATAAAACGGACAACCTCAACTAGGAGATTCACTTTTACTGACGTCTGAAATGTATAGATAGAAGTGACATGTATCAGACTGTAAATGACATAACTCGTATCACGAAATGGCCATAATTATGCCACAGAAAACGGCGACAGCACAGAAGTTTGATTGTGTAATTTTTAAACATTGACAATTTTTTTCATTTTTGTTTGATCGTCTCCTTGGTCTCAGCAATCGCCTGTTAAGGTCGAGAGCATCACTGAGTCCTAGAAGGAATTTCTTGACCAGAGACATCACGAAGATTTCGTCAAAACCAACTCATTAGGGCAAAAAATAACTAAGCATCATGTACTACATAGCAAGATGCACACGACTTACTCAATACCATTAATTTTACATGATCCATAATGCAACAGTTGGTTAAAATCCCTTCTCCTTCCCGAACCACTTAATACTTACCTGACATGAAGCCTGTTACTAAATTACTATTCAAATGCAAATATTCCTGCAGTCCATTTAGTGATCAATTAAATATATACATACATCTGTCGCATAATTGTTTAGTAGGAAGCGTCAGAAAAAGGCTTTTCATGTCATCTGAACAATATTTCATTTTTTCAATTTTGAATTTTAAATAATCCGGATATAGTACAGATATAGAGTATTATCTATAATCATTACCTGGATGCTATTCTATCATGACTTGCTAACAGCGTATTTTAAAATGAAGCTTTTTAAACTGGTTGATATGATGGAATGGCACGCAATATATTTTTCAAATATGGCATTACTGTAAATATGATATGCTTAAAGGATTTTTAATTACATAAGTTAAAAGTTAAACAGAATAATCAATGAAGTTGCTCAGCGTGTTCCGACAACCATTGTCCCTAAGGTCGATCATCATAGCCCATACTGCTTCCCTACATATATCAATTACCTTCAAAATGGTAATTTCTATTAATAATGCAGGTACTTTATTATCTGTACTAATGAAAACCTGACATCAGGTAATAAGTACTTTTGGGGTTTTTTTGCCAGATCGATTAAGTTTCACCAATACAAAACATTAGATGAAAATCAGAAGTGCATCATGATAAAAAAACTCTAATTAGTAGTTAAAACAACAACAAAACAGTCAACTGAATCCTGTTCCAGAAGAGCAAGCGTCTTCTGCTTTATTGACGACATCCGCTATGTAAATCTATGTCAATCAATGCAAATAATGTCACGTTCCCCTATGCAAGACAACATAATCACCAAACACTGACAAGCATCACAAAATGTAGATCATCAGTTCGAGAACCGAACAGGGCACGAGTATAAAAGTTAGTAGTTCTACAGTAACATACGTTGATCAGAAGGTTTCAGATTTATATAGTAGTTATTTATGTGTAATGTTGTTATCTCGTTGTATAATTCACCGCAGATAAGATATAAATCCGTGTTTGTGTTCAGAACATCAATAAAACGTTTACCACTCTGTCTATGCAGCTATTGGTGATGTTGTATAGGACTCTTACTCATGTTGTTTTATAATGTGGCTGTATGCCTTCTGCTATTGGATGAACCCTTACACGTGACTTTCGTTAAATTGTGATATCGAATGGATATTTCCACAGTTACCAGAGAAATATAAGAAAACAAGCTAATATAAGAAAACCGGTTGATTTCAGGCGCCGTTAAAAATAGATTTTTGAAATACCCTAACATCCGGGCTCCTATTACCGTAAAAGTTATTACCTGAAAAGATAAAATAAAATATAAGCTAGTGGCTTAGTTCGTAGTTTTACATTTATAAAACTTGTCGAGATAATTACTTAGTTAAAATTGAGATTGTAAACCAACTGATAATGCCAGATCAACACTCACTATAAATAACTTGACGTCCGTTAATTAAAATTCACACTAGAGTCGCCTCACCTGAAAATTCGAATCCATGATTGAACGAGAACGATCAAGTACTTGTGTTTTTTCTATGGTGACGTTAATTTTGTGAATGAAGAAGATTGTTTAAATAGTCGAAATCATGAACATGAAAAGGATAGGCGATGATGAGTTTTGGCACATTTTCTTGAAACGCCATGAACAACAGTGCATTTGTTTGATTGTAAATCGTTCTTTAGATTACGACGTTGATATATTTGCATCGGTAAATATAATTACCTTTTGGTTCATAAAATAATAATTTTTTTAACAGTTTCTGAAGGAGTTAAGTTTCAAAAAATTTCGTTCGGAAGATGTGAAAAGTCAACGATGGGACACCGACAGTTTTACGCAGTGTAAACACCCAATAAAAGTAAAACCGACAATGGGTATTAACAATATTACGTTAATGGTCAATTTTTGTTATCTTCTTATAAAACCTTATTACTAGAATGCTGATATTAGTTAATACTGATGTTGTAGCTCAGTATATATTCTCCTTTCACACCTGAATAAGGCATTGAATTGTTCTTACATATGAACATCGTCTGAGTGAAAAGAAGCATAAATTCAATAGATCGGTCGTTTTAGAGATTTGCAGTTATTGATCACATTGATTAATAATGAAGAAGTTTTCACCACTTTGACGTTGCTTTACACATTTGCTTCATGTCTGGAACATTACATTTAACACCGCTGTAGTCTTTTGACACTTTAAAAACTCCTTTTGCTCTGTTTGTACCCATGGAAATCACGTTGTATTTCTTTGCGTCTATTATTTATTGCTATTGTTATGCTATACCCCTATAATTATATACTAAACAAAAAAAGAAAGGTAACACTACTTTATTCTGTGATTAATTAATTAACCCCTTCATAAATCCTTACCAATCATGTACGAATAAAGTAATTGATCAATTCTGATAAAACTGCAGTCATGGTTCATTATAAAACTTTGCGTTCAGTTGATTTTATTCGACTGTAAAGGACGTTGGGGTCAATTTCAAAGGTAACAGCATTAGTAACGGGTATGGCCACCGTTTGCGAAGTAAACAGCATGGTCGCATGGAACCGGCGGATAATTCGAGGAGAGATGTTGTTCCATTCAGCGATCAAGGCTTGGGCCAGCTCCTGCAAGTTTGACACCTGATTTTGACGTTCTCTCACGCGTCGCCCAAGAACGTCCCAGACATGCTCAATCGGTGACAAATCAGGTGATTTAGATGGCCAATCTAACACCTGTACGTTATTCTGCTGCAAGAAAGTTCTGCTGGCGCGACTGGTGTGCGCTGGTGCGTTATCCTGTTGAAAAATGGCACCAACGCCATGGCGTCTTAAGAATGGCAGAACCACTGGTCTTAAAATTTCGTCCAGATATCGAATGCCGGTTAAATTGCCATTTCACACAACAAACCTGGTACGAGTCCCCCCATAAATACCACCCCAAACCATTACACTTCCGCTGCCAAAGCGGTCCCGTTCTGCGACGCAGCAGTTCGCAAAACGCTCCCCTCGTCGCCTCCACACTCTGAACCTTCCGTCACCGTGTTGCAGACAAAACCTGGACTCATCTGAAAACAGAACATTGGTCCATTGTCGTAAGGCCCAACAACGGTGAACACGGGCCCAGTTACGCCGATTATTACGGTGGCGTCGCAACAAATTGGGTCCAGTGTAGGGACGCCGCGCTTTCAATTGGTAGGCCCTCAACCTGTTGCGGACTGTTTTGGGAGACACACGACGCTCAAACAATGTCATTGTAGTCTCTACTGCGGTTACGAATCGATTGCGCAAGTGTATCAATCGTATACGACGGTTATCTCTGGCGGTCGTTTTACGGGGTCGGTCGCTTCGGGGACGATAGGATGTTGACCCAGTTTGGTTTAAACGACTTACCAACTGGCAAATTGTCTTAACACTGCAACCAAAATGCCGTGCAACTCGACGTCGAGACTCCCAAGCCTGGATCATGCCTACAGCCCTTTCTCTCTGTACTTGTGACAGCCGGGGCATAATGATAAAGTTGATAGATAGCAAGATTCGGTGATTTCTAAATCCTAAGGATCTAAGGAACAGTTGTCAGTTTGAATATTTATGAAATTCAAGTTAGTCGCAGAAAACCTCGTGTAGCTCTTTCGCTAATACAGACTTTCACGCTTGAATGATTTTGGTAACCCCCTTAGATTTTGTAATGTAAAACATAACCATTTTCTAATATTGCACAAACGTCATTTTGCTTTCACTCATTTACAGGTATTCGCCAAGGAAACATGTTAACCTTTCTTTTTTTGTTGAGTATATATTCAATAGAAAAAACATTTTTGCGTAGCACTGTTTGATCGCAGGACACTATCGAAACATTCGCATTAACGTCCATTGATGTAAAAAAAGCTATCAGTAATTTTACTAAAAGTAGCAGATGCAATGTTCTTGATTGGTATTTTCGTTTGTTGTCTTTCCTTTTACGTTGATAAATACCAAATTTAATCAGAGCTTCCTAATAGAAAGGTTTGACCGTAAGAACAAAGGTTTTCGTCATTATAAGATTGCTTAATCATTGGTTTTGTAACTTAACCATCGGTTTTTCATGAACCATCAACAATCTTTACACTTAATATTGACACAATATGCACAAGATTAGAAAACTATATTGATTTTTAAGATGCAGGTCTTGGTTCAAATGAAACCTCATTTACTAAAAGTCCAAGATGTACAAACGCATCGCATTAATAAGGACATAGTTATCACGAATGTGGTATTAGTTACATAATGTGTTAATTGAAGCTACG